ACTTGAGCCACAGCACCACTTCTGGCTTTTTTCTTTTTGCTTATGTGGTGCTGAGGAATCGAACCCAGGGCCTCATGCATGCAAGGCAAGAGCTCTACCACTGAGCCACCTTAATTTTTTTAACCTAAAACACAGAACCTACAATACAAGTTGTACATTTTCATGGGGAGCACTAAGTAGTGTTTAAATCAGGGACTTGCTTTATGTGTGGGAATCTCACCCTCATCTACTGTATTATGCTGATTGCTGGTCTTGACTGTATGTGTGTGTGTGTGTGTGTGTGTATGCCCTCACGCGTGCATGCACGCATGTGCAGGTGCGTGCTAAGAGCTGATGCTGTCTTCTTTAGCAGTCCTATCTAGAACACACATGTATTCCCAGTTTTTTAGGTAGCAGGGGGCGCCTAGGGCTCAGCAATCCCACTGTAAAATCCTAAATTTCCTCGGCTCTGCAGGGAAGACCAGCACACCCACATTCATAAGTGCAGTGAGGCCCCCACGGAGCATTAGATTCCCTGTTTAAATTCAGTACAAATTTTGCAGTTTCTTGTCTTTAGTGAGTCAACTTTGATGTTTATAAAAATAATTCTTGGGGCTGGGAAGGTGGCTCAGTGGTAGAGTGCTTGCCTCCTTGCATGCATGAGGCCCTGGGTTCGATTCCTCAGCACCACATAAGCAGAAAAAGCCAGAAGTGGTGCTGTGGCTCAAGTGGTAGAGTGTTAGCCTTAAGTTGAAGAGCTGAGGGACAGCATCCAGGCCCAGGGTTCAGGGCCCACGACCAACCAAAAAAATAAAAATAATTCTTAACCACAATACTGCTAAGCAGACACTAGGCACACCAAGCTACATGCAGACTTTTGAATGTTGGCCTTATTGGTTTTGTTGGGAGGTTGGTTGTAGGTGTGTTTAAGTGATAGTGAGTTTGTAGCAACTGCTTCAATTCCCACCATTTTTCTCCCCTTTTTTGAATTCACAGACAGGGAAAATTAGGCTAATTGCTTCCCCTCCCCCCTATTTTTCTTCTTTGCCAGTACTAGGATTTGAACTTAGTGCCTCTTGCTGAGCTTTATTTCCCTCATGGCTAGCAGGCACTTGATCCGTACTTCCAGCCTTTTATTTTTGCTGATTTATTGGAGCTCAGAGTCTCATGGACTTTTTTTCTGCCCAGGCAGGATTTGAACTAAGATCCTCAGCTCTCAGCCTCCTGAGCAGCTAGGATTATAGATGTGAGCTACCAGCATCCAGCCTGACATACAATCCACATTCAATATGGAGATATTAGTTAGATCTATGAGTGAACAGAAAAAAAAGTCTAGAGTGCAGTTTATTACCATTGACAAAGTCATTGACATCATCTGCCTTGATTTCCCAATATTGTATTATTCCTGTGATATCCACCCCAGAAACTTCCCATCATCCACTGCTCAGCAGCCTGAAGGCAGTCCTGATAAGTGTGGGCTAAAGACTTTGAGATGATGCACCCATACTAATGGTTCTTGATTTCCCTAGCAGAACCCTTTCCTTCTAGTCCAGAATCCTCACATCCTTAGTAATGGACCTTCAGAGGTTGACTCTGCACTCAAGTACCATCCTCCCATATCTCCTTGGCCAGAACTCTGAGCCCAAGGCCCAAGGCCCTAGCACAAGAAGAGAAAAAAGTCTTACGAACAGCTATGGCATGCAGCCTTTCCTAAGGCTGGGATCCAGACAGTGTACGGGAGTAGAAAACCAAGCTGGCACACTTGAAATCTGTCCTTTAAGAGACATATTCGCCAGGCACCGGTGGCTCATGCCTGCAATCCTAGCTACTCAGGAGGCTGAGATCTGAAGATCACAATTCAAAGCCAGCCCGGGCAGGAAAGGCCGTGAGACTCTGATCTCCAATAAACCACTAGAAAACCAGAAGTGGCGCTGTGGCTCAAGCCATAGAGCACTCGCCTTGAGCTGAAGAGCTGAGGGACAGCGCCCAGGCCCAGAGTTCAGGCCCCACGACCGGACCCAAAAAAAAAAAAAAAGAGTCTCATGAACTTTCCTGCACAGGCTGGCTTTGAACTGCGATCCTCAGATCTCAGCCTCCTGAGTAGCTAGGACGACAAGTGTGAGCCATCAACACCTGGCTCAGAGATTTCTTAAGAAAGAACAGTCTTCAAAGGGTGAACAAATGCAGCTGTGGTACTCACTAGATACTACATTGAAAATGAATTATATTAACTTGTGGGTAGGGATGGGAGGACAACAGAGAGGAAAGGGGTAACACTGTCCAAAAGGAAATGTGCTCTTTACCTGACTTATGTGACTGTAACCCCTCTGTACCTCACCTTTATAATAACAATAGTAGGTAAATAAACAAATAAATGAGTCTTAGTGTAAGAAGTGTGTCTAAAACCAACAAAGGTTCCTGCTCCTCAATCAAGGCCTAGCAGAGGGCAGTGGAATGACCACCTATCAGCTGGGCAGCAGGATGGACGATTCAGCTGCCCTGGCTGCCCGCACCCTTCGGCTCCCCACCTTGCCATCAGAAGCAGTGTTGATCCTGTAGTGGTACACCCTCCCTTCGTATCTCAGCGAGATGGACCGCTGGCCAGGACTGCTCTCGCTTTCCCGCACCAGGAAGCTGCCGTTGATCCCGCTGCTCAGCAGATACTCGGCAGCGTTGCGGGACACGGGCCCGTGGTACCAGGAGTGCTTCTCCAGGCTGTTGACCGGGGTGATGTAGTTGCTGGGGACCCATCCTTGACCATTTTTGGTTTGGGCTTCACACCATTCCCCATTGTGATTGTAGCCTAGGACCCGGAGCTTTTCACCTGAGCAGAAAAGAACCCAATTGGACACATCAGCTTGGAAGCCAGCTTCCTTACTTCTCGTTTGCTCCTGTGTGATTACTAACCATCTCCAAATTCCCCAGTCCGGTGTCCTTTGCCCAAGTGGACATAAATACACACATTTAAATGCACACATTTACAAGCGTCCAAGAACGCATGCTCACTCCCACACGGGACTTCCTGTTTGTGCTGAGTGTCCGGATGAGGGCGAAGCCTCAGGTTTGTAGTCTATTATGTCTACTTGAGTGCTCTGCTTCTACGGGACGGAAACTGGGGCGAGGGGTGGGGGGTTGGGGGGGAGAGGGAAGCGGCTTTCTCAGGAAGACAAGTCTGTCTCTTGCATTAGGTCTGGGTTTCCTCTGCAGCTGAACATGGCAAGCTGGTGTGTAAGGGACTGCTGCACAGATGCTGCTGCTTTCTCAGTGTTTCTGCATTCCAAACTGTAAAGCTGCTCTCTCAGTGGGCAGAGGGAAGCCCACTCCCCAACTTCTGTCTTTGGCGACTCCCCCACATTCCCTTTACCTTTGGTTATGCTTAGAGTGTTATCTCCACTGGCCACAAAATCATACAGTGCCACAAAAAGGTTGGGGTCATTTTCGCTGGGCCCCGCAAGAAGATTTTCCTTGGAGTTCCAGCGCGCAGCTTCGCTCAGGCCTTGGGGCTCAAAGTCAGACGCTACTGGCCGCTGGAGGGCTTCTAGAAGACAAGGAAAGAACATGATGATGAAAAGGGAAGAACTGAGTAGACTTCAGTTGCCCTTTCAGGAGCAAAGGAAGGTTGTTTGCAAGAGTATATATTCCTAAGTAATTTCATTGGACACCTGTGTGTCAGAAAGGGGTTTTGCTTTTGAAGGGTTCTACCACATCTTGCGGGACACACTGAGCATTTTCAGTCTCAGGTAGTAACTACTGTTTCCAGATGGTGTAAGCTTTTTTAGGTCATTCATTTAACATGGATTTAATCAGAAATGGACAATACCCATCATCTTCAAATGTCTTTTGCCATTGTTTAAAATACAGAACAGAAGCTGGGTGTCGGTGGTTCACGCCTGTAATCCTAGCCACTCTGGAGGCTGAGATCTGAGGATCGTGGTTTGAAGTCAGCCTAGACAGGACAAATCTGTGAGATTCTTATCCTCAATAAACTATGGCAGGTGCGGAGGGGAAGGCCAGAAGTGGAGCTGTGACTCAAGTGGCAGAGTGCTAACCTTGAGCACAAAGCTCAAGGACAGCACACCCAGGCTCTGAGTTCAAATCCTGCAACTAGAACAAAAAACAAAAACAAAACCAGCCCAAATGTCTTGTTTTCTAACACTTAGATGTACAGTGTAGCTTAGGGCTCGTAAGGAGTCAGTGTGGCACTGGCACCCCAGCCTTCTCAGAGAACCATGTTCTTTCTGGGGATCATCTTCCCTCTAGGTACCTACTGGTCCCTGGCCTTCGCCTCTCCTGGATGAACTCTCCTACTGCCCTCCCTGCTCATCCCTACTGGGCCACAGCTGGCTGGGACACCGGTCCTCCCCTTGCTGACATCCTGCCCTCACTACCAGCTTTCTGCCTCCACTGCCCACTCTTCTGAGGTCATCCTTACACTGTTTACTGTGGAGATCATTAACAGTCTCTTCTATTCTGGAATAAAAGTCTCCCATGCTGTGCCTAGAGGTAGATTCCAGCTGGACATTACCAGCAGCTCTGATGTCAAGGGGTCAAATAATTCACTACTTTGTCCCTGAAGTTCTCTCCTTCCTTGGATTGTGCTTAGGAGCACTGGTGAAATGAAGGGATTCAGAAGGGCTCTTCCCAACCGGCCAATCTGCCCTAAACTGTATGGCAACTGAGGTGCATTATGAAGTAAACCCAAACACCACTTAAACTACAATAACTGCTGGGCACTGATGGCTCATGCCTGTAATCCTAGCTACTCAGAAGGCTGAGATCTGAGGATCACGGTTCAAAGCCAGCCCAGGCAGGAAATGTCTGTGAAACTCTTATCTCCAATAAACCATTCAGAAAACTGGAAGTGGTGCTGTGGCTCAAGTGGTAGAGTGCTTGTCTTGAGCTGAAGAGCTGAGGGACAGCACCCAGGCCCAGAGTTCAAGTCCCATGACCATCCAAAAAAAAAAAAAGGCATGTGTATGTGCTCTGATTTTCCTCTGTGTGGATTTTGAGGGCCCCAGACTTTTTTCCCTGAGGACCACCACCCATCTTGGGAATGGGCCTGCCCTTGTATTCATTTTAGTTGTCAGTCGTGGGGCCTGAACTCTGGGCTTGGGCGCTGTCCCTCAGCTCTTCAGCTCAAGGTTAGCGCTCTACCACTTGAGCCATAGTGCCACTTCCGGCTTTTTTCTTTTTGCTTATGTGGTACTGAGGAATCGAACCTAGGGCCTCATGCATGCAAGGCAAGCACTCTACTACTGAGCCACCTTCCCAGCCCCTTGCATTCATTTTAAAACAACCATCCCAAGGCCCGAAGGAGTCGGCAAAGCTTTCGAGAGTTGGTACTGCTCAGTACGACCCCTGAACCGTTCAGTCTCCAACACACACAGTAAGGCCCTCCTACCCCAATCTCTGCACCAGTGGAAGAGAACCTTCAGGAATGGTTTTTCTAACAGAATAAACCCTAAATTCCATTCCTCCACACTTAATAACTTCATCTCCTCATTGCAAGGGCCGAGGTAATTTCAGGGAAGAAGGCCCTCTCCCCTTGTCACCTCCTAGGTATGGCCCTGAGTAACTGCTCCCATACCCCAGTACTCAGGCCCTGAGTAATTGCTCCTGCACCCCCCAGTACCCCCATTAGCACCTCGGGATCAAAGGAAAAAACTGGATAAAGCACAGAATTTTTTTGTTGGTTGTGGAACTTGAACTCAGGGCTTGGGTGCTGTCTCTGAGCCCTTTTGCTCATGGTGAGTGCTCTACCACTTTGAATCGCAGCACCACTTCATTTTCTGGTAGTTAATTGGAGATAAGAGTCTCATGGATTTTTCTGCCTAGGCTGGCTTTGAACTGTGATCCTCAGATCTCAGCCTTCTGAGTAGGATTACAGGCATGAGCCACCAGTACCTGGCTAGTATAGACATTTTTTGGCTTAATTTTTTTTTGGGGGGGGGTCCAGTCATGGGCCTGAATTCTGGGCCTGGGCGCTATCCCTCAGCTCTTCGGCTCAAGGCTAGCACTCTACCACTTGAGCCACAGCACCACTTCTGGCTTTTTTCTTTTTGCTTATGTGGTGCTGAGGAATCGAACCCAGGGCCTC